GACCCATTCGTGCTACACCTATACTACTAACATAACTGCAGACATATTACACATCATTGACATCTACATTTATCCTCGATTAAGAATCTAAATCCAGATGCGTCGTTGAAATGCCTCATTTCTAGCAAAAAGGATCTCCGGATCTCTATACTCACCATACGAAACACAGCAGCGTTAAGCTGCTATTTTACGCTGGTATTCTTTGAGAGCATGGTCCTACTCCAGTCGAGCCGACCCATTCATGCTACAATCATAATATAGCTGCAGCGTGGCTCTACCATGTCTAAAGTTAAAATTGCAGGTGCCTTGCGAGCTTTTTAGAGGAATGTCTTTTCTTGAAGGCCCCTAAATCGTATTGGTCTGAAAAACCGCTGGCGACAGTAAAATGTCGTTTAAAAAATCGTTTAAAACTCACGGTTGTGGATTGCCAACCATCATGATGTAGATGAAACTTCGAGTCATTTATTTAAAGAGCTAAAACAAAAATATTATATAGTATTGCTATTTTGATAGCAGTGTCAAAAACTCTGGCAGAGTTTCCTCGTTGAATGGCTAATTTTCACCTTTGTTAAAAAAAACTAGTACTTGTAGCAGTAACAAATAGTTGCCTGTATTGTTTTATAAAATTGATTTGAGGAACGAACTTACAATGCAACTGCTATTTCGCGGCAGAAATAGGTTTTGACCAGGACAAACTTCTAGACAGAAAAATAGTCCTACAACATAATATCAGTATCCGGTATAGGTGTAGTTCTATCGGCATTTAAAACTAAGCATCGCTCCGCTACAGGAAAAGGAAGAAGATAGATATAATTACTCCAAAAGTTATCCGCCCTAAGATTCAGAAACGGCTTTCCACAAGACATTCACGGTATGTAGTTACCTCACCTATCAAATCGAATAAAACAACAAAATTAAATTGAAAAAGTGACGAACGACACACAACATTATTGAACAATATGGAAATTACAATAGCCTACATATTAGGTATTTATAATAGGATTTTTAACGTATTGAGAGTAACGTAGTTTTTTAATTGCGAACTCTGTTATACTAACCATATTTTTTGATACATGAATTAAAATAAATATTCGGAACGTGAGTCAAAAAATAAATCGGAAGCAATTACTGTTCGAGCACATGCACGTCGCTAATCTTCGCAAACCGTCTCTCCGGTCACGTAAAACGAAACGGCCAAAAAAAATATATATCTGTCCCGCGCACCGATCGCGATACGCGGACAAACGCGCCTTGAATATTTTAATTTTTATATTATTTTATTAAATATGGAAAAATAACCCTACGCGCACCGACCCCCCTTAGACGGACCCACCTTCGTTTAATTGTGTACCGGCTTAACCCCGTACGTGCATCTCGAATTTTAATATCCACCCGGCGAATCCCCGGGCTTTTATTTTTATTGTACTTGCGGTGAGAAATTTGCATATATAATTTTTGTTCTACAGCTCTAATTTATTTATTCCGGCGGCATTAGTCGACCGAGGCGAATGATTTCGAACTGTGGACCATTGTTTATAGAGGAAAAAATAAGAAAGAAAAAACAATACAATAATAACATATTTACTACTGAAATTGACGATGCTCAGAGTTTCCATTTTAAGTAATTATTCTATTTCCCTATATTTTATCATTAATAAAATTATGTAACCGACGGAAAAAAGGAGGAGGTTCTCAAGTTGACGTGTATATTTTTTTATGTATGACCACGCATAACTTTTTACAGACTAGTCCGATTTTGATAATTCTTTTTATTGGATAGGATATACCTCTGAATTCGTCCCATATAAATTTGAAAAAAAAATTTGACTGTTAGAAAAATATTCGTAATCACTTTGTTTTAAAAGTAAACGAAAGTTTGACACACGTAAGATTATCATAAAGGGCATCGTTCCTATACTCTCAATCAAGAAGAGTTATATACAATAACTTTGTTGCCAATTATTCACATGAATACTTACACTAACTTCTTACATAATAGGTATTCAAATTCTATAATCACACAACTCAAATGAAGATTGAGAAATAAATCAAAGATCGTTCCCGATATCAAAGTCACACATCATGCAGAAACATTTTAAACTACAATATGGCGTACTGGCACCTTATATCTATTTGTGTGTGTACTAGAGGATGAGAGCCTGTGGAAAATCAATTGTCAGTTGGAAATTATTTGAACCTTTTGCTTTATACTTTAAAAAAGTAAGGGCTCAATAATTTGACTACATGTTTTTATGTCTGTATGTTACGCAAATTCTTTTTCAATGTTCTGTGAACCGATTTTGATAATTCTTTTTTTAATAATTAGTTTATATTTAAGGAGATTCTATGGAAATTTGTAGAAAAAAGTACACTCTTTTTAATGTAGCTATTTAGATGACATTGAGATCGGGATATATGTATTCGTTAGTCCCATAATGATTTCTTAAATTTACTCGAACATTACAAATTGAATAAAACTATTATTTACGGATTTTATTCCGTTTAATTGCTATCAAAACGAGCTTATAGTATCAGTTTTGCGTAAATCGGACCAAAAATTTATATTCAAAAACTGAATGTAGCCGGGCCAACTATGACATTGCGACGTCAAGCATCTCAGTCCCCCCCCCCGTGACCATGAGTGCTGTAAAGCACCCGAAACGTCGGAATAATAAAAATAAGTTAAAGTAGTAATTAAATTCGATAAAATCCGTAAATAATAGTTTTATTCGTTAGCGCGATATTAGAATGAAATTATGTATTTTTTTATATACTTGAAGTCTACTTCTACTTTTCAAGTTGTTATTGTTATTTGTTATTGGAAACTCCATATTTTGTCACGCCTAATATTTATGATTATTTTTTATTATTTAATAAAGGACGAAAAATGTGTATTTTGCAATAAGAATACGCAGTCTTAATTAAATAGAAATAAAATTGTAGGAAATCAATTTATTTATTTCATTCAATAACGTGGAGTCGTTGCCCACTGTCCATTTGTTAAACCTGCCCAACAGTGGGGCTGTTACTTCCGGCGGCATCATTTTAATGTCCTGAATTTTAAAATGCCACAAAGAGTATTTTGAAGATGAGTGTTTTTCCACGTCATTTAAAATATTTTTGTTAATATAGTATCTTGTCAATTGTTTACAAAGCGCATATTAAAAGGAGCGTCGATTAAGGTGAGTTAGTCATTAATCAATTTTTGTTTCAACCCACTCACTAGCTCCCCAGATTTATAAACCGCGGGGTTCGGGGCGACCCGACACGGAATTCGTTCGAGTTAAAGCGCTTTGATTCTTTCGATAATCACTGCCTAATGCAGTTCAAATTTTTCCATATTGTTTGCATACTAGTGGTCGCCTAGTGGTCGAAATTCGACTGTAATTGATATTTTTTTTTAGATTTGTATAATAAGCTAACTATATTTCGACTTTCAACTTTACATCAATATACTTACAAAAATGTCCTCCAGACTTAATTTCGGGCGCAGGATAAGACTATAGTGCCCAAGTTTAGGCGAAAGCACAGGTGCACTCTCTATTCCCTCACTCTCATAATCCGATGGTACGATAAACCGACACGACCGGACAGAGATCAGGCGCAGGACCAGCGGCTTTACTTGCTTTCCGAGTCACCGGGATGAGACACTTTGCCAACGCCAACTTCCTGATTCCGGGCAGCTAAGAATTTCATAATGGAAAAACTCAATAACTGATTTTTTTTGGCCCGACCCGGGATTTGAAGGACCTCATGATCAGCAGTCGCACTACTACAACCACTAGACCAACGGGGCAGGCTATTATTACTATTATACTAATATATAAAACAGATATCCAATATACAAAATATAAAATCTGTTTTCTTATATATACGCGAACACTACACATTGAAATAATACTAGTTTTTACGGATTTTATCGCGTATATTTAACTATAAATACCCGACGTTTCGAGCGCTTTACAGCACCCAAAAATTTAACTTTTGTTCTTTTATCTATGGTAACCGCTGTTAACTATGACATTTGGACGTTGAACATCTCAGTCCTCCCCGTGACCATGGGTGCTGTAAAGCGCTCGAAACGTCGGGTATTTATAGTTAAATATACGCGATAAAATCCGTAAAAACTAGTATTATTTCAGTATAAAATCTGTGTTTTTTATGTCCGGCCAACCATGAGATTTCCTAGCGTTTTCCATTATCGCCTTTTGCAACTTACCCACGAGACGAAGGGTAGATTCCCTTACGCGTCCACTACATATTTAAAAAATGTTTTACTTTAGTAGTTATACACGAATGATGTAGTCTTAAAGTTTATCCGGCGATAGCAATTTTGCACTCAACAATCAACGCAACTTTTTCAATTTCCTCTAAAATAGAAGCCGCCGACCGGCTACCAAACGATAAACGATTATAAGTAAGACGTAAGAGGAAACGAGGCGAGGCGGCGGCGTAATGAGAAATAAAGCGAAAAAGGCGACCAGGAAGCGAGACGAGCTCCCTCAGGCGCCTTTTTTGTACCTTTTATTGATTAAAAAAGTTTCTTAATCATATCTCCGCAGCGTTCGTCGGGAGATAGTTGGGCGTTATCAGCGCGATGGAAATGCGTCTTCATCGGAATTTTCCTCCGCTCTTCCTTAGGAAGAACGCATAGTGCTCTACTGTAATATATGTTCTTGTTATCTCAACATATATATATATATATATATATATATATATATATATATATATATATATATGCTGTTATGTTACGATATACACTCACCATTTAAAATTATAAATTCTCACATTTAAAACGTCTCAAACAATACCATTGTATTGTAGTCCACGACATTACATATTTATATATTTGTGTTCTGTTCAATAATAGGCAGTATAATTAGTCATAACAAGAGTAGGTACCACGTCTCCTTTTCATTTAACTCCTTCCAACATTACATGGTGACCCTGCCAGGATAAAATAAGACGCGAACTATCACTTTAATGCTGCTGTGTTTCGTATGGTGAGTGTGCCGGTGTACCGGAGACCCTTTTTACTAGTAACGAGGCATTCCATCTTAGTCCTCAAGGGTTTGAATCTTAATCGATGATAGATGAAGTGTTTATGGGCTATAGCATCCACTTAATATTATTATATAAAGATATATTTTATAAAAGAGGACCATACCTATACCTGCCGACTTTCTTTCGTTCCTTCTATTTAATAAAAATAATTTCAAAATTTACCCACATTTGACCAACTGTATCACGTAATATACACACAAAAACCATACACCCGAATTGAGAACGTCTCCCCCTACCCCCTCCACTTTTCTATTTGAAATCTGCTTTAGAACATCACCTTATACACTTACACAATAAAGCTAGAACGTTACTCTTATTGTTTCAGAAACTTCACCTTCTCTCTCCTCCGGCTTTCAAGGTTGAGCGTCTCATGAGCAGCAACTGCGGCAGTCGCCTGTGCCTGTTCGGTTCCCGGGGCGTGACTGTCGCGGAGTTGCCCAGCAGGTGGGGTCGCGGCGGTCTCTTCAATTCCGGCAGCAAGACTGTGCTCTGCAAGTAAGTCTACTTATTAATACAACAAAACGCGATTGACTTTCTTAGTTTTAAAATGTTTCTTGATTTTCTGATAGCTTTCCACGGTAATAAATTTAATTATTTTATCAAAATTATTTTCTAAAGAAGGGGATTGTATTTCCGTTTCCTAGCCCTTTATAAGTCCGCTGCTGAACATAAGGAGTACCGCAAAACACGGTCCTGAGCCACCCGCATTCGTCGACTGCCTACCAGGTTGTCACTTCATCAAGACTGACACGAGAACATTTCCTTCTTATCACTTTTCGGTTCTTCGAAAGGCATTTTTCGTATATTAATAATTATTATTTTTATATGTACAGCATACAGTCCACCTGATGGTTAACGGATGCTGTGGCTATCATCAATTAAGAATAAAACTGTCTATGCGTTGCTACACCTGAGGACTAAGATGGAATGCCTCGTTTCCAATAAAAGAAAGTCTCCGGTTCTCTCCAGCCACCATAAGAAACACAGCAGCATTAATCTGCTATTTTTCTCTGATATCCTGTGAGAGCAGGGTTCTTCTCCGGTCGAGCCGATCCATTCGTGCTGCAACTTCAATGTAACTGCAACATGGCTCTGCAACGTGTAATTATGGACACCAGCCCGCATTACTTCATGTGTTAGGCAACACGTAAAGTACCTTACTAAATATAATTCTAAGGATATTTATTAGAGCGAAGTTTTAAAGTCGTATACTTAAAGTAAACACCTGCATACCCCGCGTGATAAGTTCCCGAGAGCGCCGGCACGTAAGCATCGTGTATTTTCTACTATCACGGTAAATTTTGTAACCTATTAAGCTCCTCGAAGCGGCTATAATGTTAGCCTGAGGTAACGATTAAGACATAGATTAGTAAGGAGTTTTATATTTCCGCAGAGCTGGCACTTTTCTGAAATCTGATTTTCTGCCCATACTGTTATTTTATGTTCATTTTTGTTTAAAGCTACAATTGTATTGTCATCAACACAAAATTGAGATATTTTTAATGCATCCGTATACGTTTCCGATTTCGTATTCTATTAACGCATTTTGAGAAGAAAATTTCTAATTTGAAAACATAACAATGAATAATCAATGTTCCAAAAAACTTAAAAAATGTGTCTTATTTCAAAAATGGTAACTTAAAGTCAGCATTACCTTATAAAGTAAGTATTTTTTTTGATAAACATAGGCTAGGGAATTAAAGAGTTAAGACGTAGTGCTCTTAACCCAGCACTTTACCATCGCAAAGGAGACAATCAATTTTTCTATGGAGAATGGGCCCACTACAAATTTTAAAGATTATCAATGAAATGCATGTCGATTTATTCCTTATAATCCATAGATTACAATAAAATTATTAGTTTTACTGCATCTAAACGGAGTCCTGAGAAATTAACAAATAAAATATGAATCTAACAATAACCTAAAAACAAACTGAAAGCGATTTTCTGGTAGTATTCATCGGTATTATAAGTTAAAATAGTGCACACTTGAATAATAGTACATATAAAACTAAGCTGTAGATATATTCAGAATTTATAAATATTTTAAAATCGATGTAAAACCTTTCACTAGTTCCGGCAAAACATAGTGCCTGTCTATGCACAAATGTTGTATGGATTCTAAGTTTGACATGTATTGATTGATTGTGAGTGTAATTCTAAATACCAAGATGGCTAAGGGATAATGTCTATTTATATTTATGATATTACCAACACACAGTAAGATATGTTTTAAACTGGTTGTATTACAAAGAGAAATTAACCAATAAAATGTGAATGTAACAATAACCTAAAAACAAACTGAAAGTGATTTTCTAGTAGTATTCATCGGTATTATAAGTTAAAATAGTGCACACTTGAATAATAGTACATATAAAACTAAGCTGTAGATATATTCAGAATTTATAAATATTTTAAAATCGATGTAAAACCTTTCACTAGTTCCGGCAAAACATAGTGCCTGTCTATGCACAAATGTCGTATGGATTCTAAGTTTGACATGTATTGATTGATTGTGAGTGTAATTCTAAATACCAAGATGGCTAAGGGATAATGTCTATTTATATTTATGATATTACCAACACACAGTAAGATGTTTTAAACTGGTTGTATTACAAAAAACAAAATATAATGTAGTTAATTCTATTTATTATTGTAAATCATAATTTATTTAAGTATTCTATTAAAAGTAGTAGGTACAGAAACAGAAACCTTTTATTCAATTTAGATTATAAATAATACTTATTGAAAGTCACTTTTTTAATTTACCACTGGTTCGGAAAAAACCTCTGACTTGAAGAGAACCAGCAAAATACCCAGTGGGTCTTTTAAAGAAAAGGCAGCTTACAATCATGTATGTCATAATTAACAACACAGAACAAATTAGAAATAGCTTGGTAGCGATCACCCTTCCCACGGGTTATTGTCAGCCATAAATTCCTTTATACTATAATAACCCCTTTTATACAAACTTAATTTAATAATTTTTTTGAACTTTGATGATTGACTGACATATATAGACAGGAGCGGTGTCAAGACATTGTTTTAATATGTTTTGGTTGATTAGTAAGTAGTATACATCATAATAAAATGACTAGGAATTAACATGCCTTATCTATGTTATTACACAATGATAAATAGTGAGGAAGTAAGATGTTTCAAACTGTTTGTGTAAGGATTACAAAAACACAGGCTTAATTTAAATGTATTTATTACTAGCGATGCGGCTCAGCTGCAGCACTGGTGGTTTATGGATCTTGACAACAGTGCCATCTACCGGGTCCAAATGTGTCCAAATATAAACCATCTAGGGATCCATCCAAATACACACAAACATTTTCATTGAAATTGGTTGGATGGTTTCTTATGTTTTATCTATAACGGACATAGGTAGAAACATTTTAGTGTTAGATATATTTCTGAAGGTTTTTTGAAAATAACTTGATGGTAACATGTACATTTATGATATTGTAAGCAATCAGAAGGAATTTTCAATTATAAGAGATATGATATAAGACTGTTGTCTCCAATATCCATACACTTTTTGTCTCTGCAAGCTTTCAGCCTGCACGGCATATAGATTTGTTCTAAGCGATCCACCTGAAAAGAAGTTAATGACAATTGTAAAGGTGTTTTAACTAAATAATAATTCTTATCAATATATTATTTTTTTCTATATTATATAGGAATTAAAAGGACATTTTTAATAATAAGAGATATGAGATAAGACTATGCCTTCAATGTCAATAAACTGTATTTACATATTTCTGTAAGCATTTTCTTATATCTGCCTTTTCATATGTTAAATAATAAAGAAATTATTATAAACTATACAGCATTAATCAGCTCCATCTGATCAAATAGAGGAGCAGTAATTAGTGATCATCATCTATGATATTCAACCATGTAAAAGTTGTCTCACTTTTTATTTTTACTGGTTTCATGTACATAGGAGACAAAGATATTATTGTTATATTAAGTATATCTGTTTCTAGATGACAAAATAATATTCCTTTCTGCACAGTGAACAACACAGCTGTCTAAGCATAATAGATACAACCATTACACTTTTTTATGCAAACTATTATTATTAAACTTATATTTATATTTGCTTCTAGTACAAATAATTACTACATTTTTTACACATAAATATATTATGTAACATTTATATTGCCTATCTACTATGGCTGGTATAAATCCAGGATCTGTGTCTGGCTTAACGAAAAAGCCATTTAGTATTAAGCAACTTGCTGAATACATAGGTACCTATTTGTACACAAATGTAGTTATATGAATTGCTCTTCAAAACCCTCTTTAAGTCCCTCGACCCAAAGATTCTAATTTTCTTTTAACATTATAATAAATTATTTTGTGCATTTATTCTATTTATTATGTATTTAATTTAGATTTTACTAATAAAATAAACATAGTACTTTGTCACTTTTAACAAACTAATAAGGTTCTAAGACCTGTTTATTATTTGTATTTATTTTGTTTTAGGTAAAATATACAAACTTAATAATAGATTTTCACAACCTAGAATAGGTGTAAATTAATAAACTCTTATATTCTATTTGCGAATTTTACCACAAAAACTATAAAGAGAAAAACATACGTACTTGTGTCAATTAATATTTGGCTAACCTTTCTGATAAATGATAATATCCATATTTTCTTAAACATTAGTTTAATAATGCTTGTAAATAAAAACTCCATTTTGTTCTTACCATAATGATGCGCCTCCAACTATGTTTTATTTCACCCGAGTGAATCGAGTGAATTATTTTACCGAGTTACCGAGTTAACTCGGCGCATCGTATAAATTCAGAGGGTGCTATATAGATATTACTTCACTAATTTACTTGTATATATAATAAGTCGCTGCAGGTGACATCACAAGTTGCATCCAAATTCAAACTTGCATCTGGCATGTTGTAAACAAACCTGAATTTAGTTTTATTTATGATATTGATTTATAGTTTTAATTTCACATATTACTTATTTATAAAGGTACATATTTAAAAATTGTTTAACTAAAGTAATCGCTACTCTCAACTCTAGTGATAAACTTTTCTGTAAATAGTTGATTTACTCAAAAACTAGTATACAACTAGAATGACATACATACATACTCGTAAATTAACCCGAGTGGCTCGAGTCACAAAACTCTACTCGAATCGCATCTTTATCTTACGGCCAATGCAGTGTTTGTCTACAATTTAGTGATTAAATCGAATTACTAATTCGAGCAATTTATTGATATATTATGTAATAAATAAATTGATATTAAGTAATATGTATATAATGTTGTATCAATTTATGTTATACATAATATAAATTGATTATATGTACTTTGGATAGTCAAATTATTAATAACATTAAGACTTACGTCATAACGTTAAGAGTGATATTATTTTATGAAGATATCGATACGCATACCAAAAATAATATATAACTACCTATTAAGTGTAGTAATAATAATTGTGTTGTATGAA